TCGTACCGTTCCCCACCACAAAAGTCAGTCTATTTTGAAAATTGCTTCATCATTTCCTAATATACCTCGACAAGGTCATCTCATAAGAACCACGATCCTCACCCAAGCACCACCCCCCTACAAAACACCCTACTTCACCCCAATGATTTCTCTCTAGAAGCTCTTCCTCTCAATTCCAAATCGCTATAGCCACTTGCCTAACAAGGCCTTGTTAAATAAAACAAGTCTCTTCAATCCAAGACACCCCACCCTAACACGGGAACAAACGTCACCCCATTTGACCAAATGAAAATTTCTCTCTTTCCCCAACCTGCCCAAAGAAAATCCCTCTACATCTTCTCTAAATTATTGGCCACTGCAACGGAAATAGGAAACAATGACAGAAAATAGGTTGGAAGATTAGAAATAGTAGATTTGATGAGAGTAAGACGGCCTCCTTTTGACAAATAAATACGCTTCCACCCCGTTACCCTCTTCGCCACCCTTTCAAGAATACCATTCGAAATTTGTTTACTTTTAAACCTCGCTCTTAACGGAAGCCCAAGATATGACATGGGCAAATGTGCGACTTTGCATTCGAGTATGGCCGCTAATTCCTCCACATTAGCAACCTCCCGCACTGGAATAACCTCCGATTTCCCCAGATTTGCCCTCAAACCGGAGACTGCTTCAAAACACAGAAGCAAGCGGCGCANGCCTCCTTTTGAAAGGTAAATACGCTTCCACCCTGCTAACCTCCTCTCCACCCTCTCAAGAATATCATTCCAAATTTGTTTACTTTTAACCTGTGCTCCTAAAGGAAGCTCAAGATATGACATGGGCAATTGTGCAACTCAGCATTCGAGAATGGCCGCCAATTCCTCCACAATAACCTCCCCCCATTGCAACTCTACATTCGAGTATGGCCGCCAATTCCTCCACATTAACAACCTCCCCCACTGGAATAGCATTAGATTTCCTTAAATTTGCCTTCAAATTAGAGACCGCTTCAAACACAAAAGAAAGCGATGCAAATTCTTATTTTGCATAGCGTCTGCATCACAAAAAATCATTGTCATCTGCAAATAACAAATGGGAGACCTGTAGATGACCAATAGCGAAACCTCTTAACAAAACCTCCGTCACAGCTTTCTCAATCATTCTACTGAATGCCTCCATCACGATAACAAACAACAAGGGGGATAACGG